CACTCATCTGGAAGCTTGACACCAGGTACATCCAAGTGGCATCTTGGAGGGAAGTGGGCAAGGGAGTGCCTGGTGCCAGGCTGCTAACCTTACCTCCCTCTCCATCTGCCACGTACCCCTAGCATGACACTCCCGCTCCTGCAGACACCAAAGAAACAGATTCTCCCTTTCAAAATTGAGCCTGAAAAAGAAAAAAAAGAACACACATAATCTCTATTTTTGGAGCTTGATGTGGCAGAAGCAATTTCTCCCAGTGTTGAATAGAAAAATGAGGAATTTCTCCCCATAATAACCAAACTGAAACAACAGCCATAATGATAATGACACTCGAAGGATCTTATGGGAATGTATTCATTGTACATGTGTTCATTCATATACTCATTCATTTCTAACAAAAAAATAATAATTTGAATGTTGATTCTAAAAACACATGAAAAAATCCAGGTGTCTTTTATCCTGTTGCTGTCTTAGGGGTTACTATCTGTTCTGGCCTCACTTTCCTCATTTTATTCCAACAAATATATGTTCAATGCCTGCTGTGTATACTCACCATTCTCGGCGACAGGGATACGATAAAAAAGACAAAAATCACTGTTTTCTTGGAGCTTATATTCTAGTACAGTGAGAAGACAGGCAATAACTAAGACAAACAAGAAGAGATGAAACATCGAGAGGGTGATAAATGCTACAAAGAAAAAGGAAGAGAAGATGGGAAGTGGTGGTGGTGTTGCAATGCACATAGTGTGGCGTTTGAGTAAAGATGGGCAGGATGGAGAAGCAAGTCATGCAGGTGACTGGGGGGAGACTGCTTCAGCAGAAGGGACAGCAAATGCAAAGATACTGAGTCAAGGGCAAAGAAGAAGAAGTCATAGCTGAATAGAATCCCGAGAACAGGGGAGAATGTACTCAGAACATGAGGTCAGAAATTTCACAAGGAACCCACGGACCCAAGTCCATTGCCAGGACTTGAGCTTCACTGGGACATGAGAAAACAAATGACCAGAGGAGAGACATGACTTGCCTTGTGTTTTGGTAGGGTCACTCTGGCTGCTGTGTTGAGAACAATCGAAAGGGAGTATGGATAGAAACGACGAGACCAGACAGGAAATTGTTGCCATAATCCATGGGAAAGACTGGAAGTGGGGTCCAAAGTGGTGAGAATGGAGGGGTGAGAAGCAGTTAGACTCTGACTGTATTTTGAGATTTGTTGGCAAATTGGTGTGTGTGAGGTGCATGAGAGATAGGGAGGAACGGAGGGAAAAAGGCATCAAGGATTAATAGGAGGTTTTTATCCTGAGCAATTGGAAGAATGGAGTGCTGTTAATTGGGATGTATAAAGATTATGAAAGAGCTTTGGAAGGTCAGTTTTTCACATGTTATGTTAGTGGATCTTATGATCCTGGAGTTCAAGAAGCATCTCCGGGTTGAAGATTTAAGTTTGGAATTTATCAACAGATACTTACATCTATGCTATGAGACAAACAAGGTGCCCCCCCCAAAAAAAATAATATAGACATATTTCACATTTTTAGAGACAAGAAGATAAGTAAAAGGAAATTTAATGGAGGGCCTCGAGAGTTGAAGATGTCCGGGAAGGCAAGTGAAGAAAATAATTTAAGGAAAAAGGTAGTGATTGACTGTGTCCTAAAGTCAAAGCAGAAAAGTGGGGGATTTAGCTACCTAAAGATTGTTTTTGACCTTGGTAAGAACAGTTTCTGTGGAGTAGAGGGGCGAGAGCCTGACCAGTGTGGTCTCAGCAAGGAACGGGAAGGAGGGAGACTGGAAATTGCTCTGTGGACAGCTGTTTGAGATTTTGCTTTCAAGGAAAGTTGAGAAATGGGTATGGTATCTGTAGGGGTCCCAAAAAAGTTGTTAAAGCCTTTTTGGTTGTTCGTTTTTATTTTTGTTTTGAGTGGGAGAATGAATAGTGTATTTGTGGACTAACCTTCCTGTGTCTCTCTGGGGATAAGATGCCGAAATACTGACGGACATCTGTGCGGACAGGAGTTTTGATCAGTAATAATGGCTGTGTGAAAAGATCGCGGATTATGGGGTCTTTGGGAAATGTTGGTGTTGCACTGGGTGTCATGAAAATACCAGCATTGCAGAAGGAGAACGGAAGGGTCACCAGAAGATGGATAAGGCAGCAGAAGAAGAAGGCGTCCAAATGAAATATTGCCTGTTTGCATTTTGCATAGCGTTTAGGTTACTACCGTCCGTACGATGTCAGTGAAAAATCTTCCACATGCCTTAGAAGTTTAGTCTAGGTGAAAACTTAACAACAGAAAACTTTAAATAGAATTCCTTCTTTCACGTCCATCTCATCTGTGTGGGGAAGGTAATTTGTAATGAGTTTAAGGTCAGGGAGGGGAGGCCATTTTCCTGCACTGGACACTTTGGAAATCACATGTCTTCTGTGGAGGGACTAGAACAGTGGTTTAATGTTAATTAATGCATCTCTGTAACCCTGTCTGCTAAGAACTCTGTTGCCCAGGAAGGTAGATGTTCTGATGAGTCAAGTAATCTAGCTGATAAGCGCCTGCAGTGTGTACAGTTTAAATCAATTGTCGATGTTGAAGCGAGTGTAAGTTGTGGTGTGTTGTGGGTATTGAGGTGAAGAGGGCACGGAGAGTCACTTAGCAGCCAGCACTGATGGAGCCAATGACTCCTTGTGGGGACCACAGAGTCAGGAACTGAACCTCTTCTTTCCAGGAGTAGAGACTCATTCATTCATTCATTCATTCATTCATCCTCACACCCAGAGTAGACTCTGTGGAGATCATTCCTGTCCTCCACGGGACTGGGAGACAGACTGTGAGACTCGGGGGTGCTCCAGTTCTTCTTAGCATCATCTTTGGGAAGAATCACATATTGCGTTTTCTGTGTCCAGCATATTCTTTAGGACATAACCTCCTAATGGACAAACCACATATATTTGACAACAGAGCCTCTCTTTGTACAAGTTTTCTTTTTGGAAAACAGTCACCCTGTGGTCTGAAACCCTGGATGGAAAATTAAAAAAGACTAGATTCTTGTATCAATTACTTTTTAGTCTATCTTTTTGGAAAACAGAAGCTCTGAACTGTAGTGTTCTCTCATTTGCTACATAGGTGTGCCATTGTTATTACATATGCTATAAACTTGTTGGATAGGATAGTATGGAAAACAGTAAAGTATCTCGAGGAGGAAGGGTTATATAACAGATATAAGTAATGATTTATGAGTTTTCAGCTTTAAGATTCTGTATTGTGCTTTAGATGCTATTCTATTTTTTTATCTTTTTTCCCCAATATTTAAGGCACAGTGCATATAGTAGTAGTTAAGGATGTAGCAAGAGAAGAAGTAAGGTACTAGTCTTAACTTACCTACAAGTGTTCATAGAACCAGTATAATAAGCCATTTTGCCTCGCCGATTGGCAATTAAAATAAATGTCACTCAGATGTGTTAGAATTCACCAATACGCAAAACTGAAATTCTAATCATGTCACAAAAAAAGTGACAAAAATAACACTTCCAGCACTTTTTAAAAATTGATTTTATTTTCCTTTACAAGATTGAAAGTGTTAAACTCTTCACTCTGACCAGATGATTAGAAAGATACAGATCTACTGATTATTTTTATACTAGAATAATCTTTCATTATTAATCTATTTAAGCCTCTCAAATCAGTTCATCAGTACTGCCAATTAAAAATAGGAAATGTATGTGCTCAATTTCAAGAATTAAAAATAATGCCTTGGGAGTAGCATTTCTTTCCTGTGGTAAGAGGATTGTTGGATTTTCCAATTAAAGAAGTCTCCATACTGGAAATGAGTAGTCAATTATGAAAATTATTTTTGAATAGTCAATTTGCATATCCCTAATTGTATTCATTTCTTTTGAAAGACTGAACTTGGAATTTATGATGTTTTGATTGATTACGCCTGCATTTGTGTTATTAATACTATTGCTAACAAGGTTCCCCTCTGAATGGGCCTTCGAGTGTCTTTTCTGAATAAATGTTTGAATCACAAGTAGGTTTGCTTTATTTAATGAATGAAAAATAGCTGAAGATTTACTAGCAGTTTTCAGATTTGCACACACTGTTCTTTGTCGGGTTGACAGTAGCATCCCCTTGGTGCTTTCTAGACGCACATTTGGACTTCTCCCGAACACCCGATGAGCAGTGTGCGAGGTCTCTCTATGGTGGTGCTGTCTGCCGGCCAAAAATACGGTTTCAGCAGGACTGTCCTCACTGTTCGTACAGCAGTGTTTGTGCAATGAATATTTTATGACATCTTGCCCTTTATGAAAAATGACTTGGAAGTGGACAATTAAATGTTTTTATATTAATGACAAGAAACAGTTCTCATATGAAACAACACTGAGACAAAGATGGAAATAATTTGGTTAAAAGTGCTGATGTGTAGTCTTATTGGACTTGACGTTCATTGGACTTAAACCAGTCAACATAGCGTCATGAAGGAAGAGAACAAATTTAAAGGGATGTATCAAAAGGGGATATCTGTGTGCACAAAGTGAACACATTGTATGGAAATATGCACGCTCATTTGTTGTGATTGTGTCTAAAAGGGCAGCTATGATTATGGATTTCATAATATCTTAACTCTCTGAGTTTGGAATGTCCTCTTTTACCTTATAGATCTGTTGTTCAGCTTTTGCATATTCAACTTTTATTTCTGGAAACCGTCCTAAAAAAATACTGAAGTCCTTTTTGGCATATTGGAAAAGGTGGTGAGGGGAGGGGCAGCCTTTTCCTTCCTTCAAGAGAGTTAGCCAAAATAGGTTATTTCAAGAATAGACAAACCATTAGTGAAGTCCTGCCACGGTCCTTTCAGACGTAATATTGAATTGGGAGTTGTGGTACAGTAACATTCAAGTTACACGGTTTCAGAGGCTGTTTTCCTTAAAATCCAAGAAAGATCACAATCAGCTAGAAACAGTGTTGTGTGCTATGCATGCCATTCAAAGTAATTAGTGTGGTTGGATTTGTTTGTAGCTGATTGCTGTGTTTGATGAACAAGAACCACTCCACAAGATTGAGAGCCCCAGCGGAAACCCTGCAGGCCGGCAGAGCCCAGATGCCTTTGAGACGGAAGTGGCTGCCCAGTTGGCTGCGTTTAAACCAATTGGTGGGGAAATTGAAGTGACCCCTTCTGCTCTGAAATTAGGTATGTGTATCTTCACTATTATGTTCTTCACTTGCTTGAAATACGTCATCTTGCTGATTATGAGTGGCTTCTACAAGATGACTTGTCCTCTTAGTATCTTTCTTGAAAAATCTGATTTGTCTTTAAATTATTTTTACATAGCTCTTTGTAGCTGTGGACACTCAGACAAGGGGATGCATTTGTTTTGTTTTGTTTTGTTTTCTCCTTGAATGACGGGTGGATCTGAATTGCGTGGTCTTGAAGTATCCTACAGGACAGGCTGGTCTGTAAGTGATGGGGTTCATCTGTACCCTAGGGGGGTCACTTAAAAAAAAACTCTTTGAAAAGTGTCATTTGGCAAAAGCTAACATTTATCAAGGAATTCAGACTAGGTATAAAGGTCACTTTCTGTTTGAACCACCTTCTTTTTCTCCTCAGACTATGTATCTCAGACTTCCAGGAAAACATTTTGAAGTTAGTCTCTTAATTCTAGCCTACTGATTTATTCACACAAGAACGACCCACCCAATAATTTTGTTCAGAATTCCTCATTTTTGTCTTGAAGGCATTGGGAGAAAAATAAACATTCTTCTCAAGTTTCAGTGAATTTACACCTCCAAGATCAATGTCAGTTTTTGGTGATACCTCTCGGAGGTAAATTTAGGTCAGTTTCACAGCATGAAGCTTTTGAAAATCCGCTAACATTTTGGTACTTAGAACAAATTTTCATTCCTGTTGAAGGTGTGCATATGTTTTGAGACTGCTCTGAGCACCTGTTAGATAGGTTAGTTCTCCAGGTAGAAGAACAGAGGCTTTTACTACTGTGCGAGGGGAATCTTTCCCTTGCAAAGCAGAGTGTACGCTTAAAATCACAGAAGTCCTGCAGAGAGCCGGCTTTTTCCCATCTGAAGCAAAATGTTGACTGGAAAGTTTATTTTACATACCACAATCCTGAATATCCGTATTTGGTACTAATCTTCTGGAAAGCATCTGTGGTGCCGCTTTTATAATAAACCAAGTGGAAATTTATGACCTCTAATCTTCCTGATGTTCCTCTATCCTTTGGAAACCCAGCTAGTGACGCGATGTTCTGGAATGCGTGCGGACAGCCCAGGGCTCCGTGGCAGCTTCCCCATCCACAGAGGAGGTCTGTGGCTGCAGCATCCTCACCGCCCTATCATTCATTTGCATAATGAATGCCTTTTTATCCATTATGCAAATGGGATGGGAGGGAAATTAGGCAATAAGGGAAGACGAAAGGAGAAAATTGCTCTCACTTGTTTTAATATTCTATTTATAAGCAAGCACTGTGTGGTCTTCAAAAGGCTGAACCTTAGAGTAGCCTGTGCTGGGGAATTTGTTTCTGCCTTCCCTTAGGAGCTCTCTAGGTGGGGATGGGTGTGGGGGGGTCGTTTTTCTTAAGCTTTCTCAGCTTCTTTTGTTGAACTGTCTGAGCAACATAATGTTGAAATCAGGAAGAAAAGTAAGCTGAGGTTCCTTTTCTTTGAAAGTGAATTTTCTACTTCTTTAGTACTAATGTTTGGTGAAAGAGAGAGAGAAAAATCTTTATTAGTGGAGACTATATGCCAGGCCCTGAGCTCAAAGCAGTGCAGCAAGTGTTCTTAATCCTTTGCTCATGACAACTCATTTTTTAAGGGAATTTTTTAAAGATTTCATTTATTTCAGACAGAGAGAGAGGGCACACACGCTTACATGAATCAGGGGAGGGGGTGAAAGGGTAGAGGCAGAGTGAGAAGCAGGCTCCCCGTTGAGCAGGGAGCCCATGTGGTGCTGGATCCCAGGATCCCAGAATCATTGATTCCAGACTCCGGGATCATGACCTGAGCCGAAGGCAGATGCTTAACAGACTGAGTCACCCAGGCACTCCATGACAGCTCATTTAAGCCTCAGGGTACTTAGCTGGGTTTTGTTACTCCCCTCATTTAAGAGGTGGGGACACAGTCATGTAGTACTAAAAGTAATTTATCCAAAAATCCTATAGTGATTTCATGGCAAAGTCAAGATTTGAACCCTTTCTGGCTCCAGTGTCAGGAACCATTTTTTTCTTTGCTGCCTCCAATCTGCTGGTAGTGAAAGAATAAGTTGACGGACTTTTTTGGGGTGTACTTTGTGAATATGTATCCAAATCTTGAAAGTGCTTACCTCCCCGGCTTCAGATCCATGTCTCTAGTACTGTGGATGAGGTGATGAGATTAGCTAACCTTCCTCACCAGGTGGTCAGTGTTGCCTCCCAGCCATGGGCTCTGAAGCCCTGGCATCACCTCATCTTCCCCTTGCTCGCCGGCCAGCCTTACTTCCTTCCACCTCACGACCTTTGCAGCTGGACAGAGCTTGAGCATCACTCAGACCATCGCGGAGGCTTCAAGCTGACCTCTCTCGTCACAGGGCCTGCTTTCTCCCATCCCAGCTTCTGCCAGAGCTGTCTCGCTAAATCACAAATCCGATTATATAACTCCCTGCGTAACAACTTCCAGTGGCTTCCTCGTGTGCGGAGAGCCACGTCCAAACTCATTAGCAGCCTGATGCAGATGGTTCCTTGGAATTAGCGGGAGGAATCTGGGCAGGGATGAACACTTGAAAAAAAACAAAAAACAAAAAACAAAACCCTTATCTCCCCCTCATGGGTCCAGCAGATTGAGTACTTTTCATTTCTGGAACTTTAAAAGCAAAGAAGAGAAAACATTTGTCAAGTTTCTCAGGGTAAGTAGAGGAAGCAACCCAGCCTGCTTTGGCGTCTGCCTGTTCTGTGTATCTTTCCTTTTGTTGCCTTGGGGAAGGGTGTGGTCATAGATGGGGCAGATGTCAACTGAGTATGGAGGGTTTTGCTTGGCAGCAGAGGCAATGCTCAAGGCGGCCGAGGGGATGGGACCAGTCGTGCTCTCAGACCCTGTCTGAGATCCTGCTTAGGTGAAAGGGGTGGGTGGCTAGAGGGGGAGTAGCATTTGTGTCCCAGTGATTCATCATAACAGCCTGCGCATAAAATGCTAACCACCAGAGCCCCAGCTCTTCACCTCCGCTCCCCACTCCGCTCCCAAGGCCATTGGAAGCGGTTCTAGTTCTGGGGCTTGTCTGCATAGGCTGGTAGAGCAGACACAGGGATTGTCAAATTCTTGAGCCCCATTCAAGAAGATGAGGAATTTAATCATTATCAGCTTACATGTTTATCTCTCTTACCAAGCTACCATTTGACAAATAGGAGGAATCAATACATTTTATGATTAGGTCATATTAATCAACAAAAATTTGTATTGTATTGGTATCTGAAATAAAATTATGCTTGATATCTAGTATAATTTTTCTGTCATTGTCCAACACAAGATGATAATTAATAATATCCTGTTAAAAGCCAACAACATTCCCTGTATGCATACAGAGATTGGCCCCTCTTCTTTTTCTTCCAAGATGAAATACTTATGTACAGAATATGCCAGAAGTTCTTATTTACAGGCTCTTCATGACCTACCTACTTCCTCGCTGCCCACATTTATTACTGGCCACTCTTTCACAGTTACGTTAACCTGTAGGCACCAAGAACCACTTGCCATTCCCCAAATTTGCTGTCTTTCAGGCCTCTGTGCTTGTAGAGGAACTTTTTCTCTTTGATCCTCCCTTTGCCTCTTTTCTACTTGGTGGAATTTGTATGCACCTTTTAAATTCAGGCTCAAATACGATTGTATTTATAAAGCCTTGTGTACATCTTGAAGGTAGTACACTAGGTATACAATAAATTTATTTCCCAATACTTCATTCAACAATAATGAGTTACAAAGATGAATTGAAGAAATCTTCTACTGACCTAAAAGGGTTCAGTATATACCCTGTAAGCTAATGGGGTATATATTTTTATTTACAGGAGGAATTTCAGATCAATTGGGAAAGTACATAATTCTAACTTCATTCATCTAAATTATTTCTTACATTTATTTTCCCAATGGATTTTCGTTTTCTTTTTTTAAATATTCTACTTATTTATTTGAAAGACACAGTGAAAGAGCATGAGCTGGGGGAGGGCAGAAGGAGAGGGAGAAGCAGTCTCCCCTCTCAGCAGGGAGCCCGACAAGGGGCTGGACACCAGGACCCTGAAAACAAGACCTGAGCCAAAGTCAGATGCTTAACCAACTGAGCCACCCAAGTGCCCCCACCACAATGGATTTTCTAATGTAATGCTAAATGACTAAGTCCTGATGCAGAATGATTTACTAGTTTGGGCTAACACTTTAAGAGTCTGTTTCTGAAATAGGCCAGTGCTTCCTACAATATAACCTAGAGATTGCTACCCTAAAAATATATTTAAAAGAAGAGACACGGTAGAACAAACACTAGGTAGAACAGCACAAAATGATATCCACAGAGTTTACTTGGACTTTAAAATCACCCAGTTCAGGAATTTTCCAAGTCTTCTTTGGAGCCCTATGGTACTTCTGAACATGTTTTGGGATCTCAGCAACTATGTGATTGTAGTTAATTAGCAAATGACATTCACTGAGCATTTAAGTCTTAGATGTTCTTCTAATTTATTCACATTCACTCTTTGTACAGATAGGATTGGTTAAGCTTTCAGGGTGATAGGGAAAAACTGTAAGATGGCTGACCAAACCAGCAAGGCAATTCCAGTCTCTTTCTCAAAGCCCTCCCGGGGTCTTCTTTCCTATCCCATTTCCCATGCGCACTGAAAGTACCAAGTATGCAGAAGTAGAAGGGTATAAATTCCCCTCCCTGCTTGTGCTTGGGGCTCAGACCGTTGGAGAACAACTTCCTCCTTGCCCGCCGGTGTTACATAAACCTCCGATCCTCCAAAGTCTCTGCGTGGCACTTGGGTCTTCTGCCAGGATCCAGTCCAGGTTCTGTAACAAGGGATGAAAGGAATACAGAAAGCTGGTGAGGAGGCAACAGAGAATCCTAATGCCCTTTAGAAGTCCTACTGTAAAGAAACGCACTTCTACTCAAGAATTCTTAGTACCCCTGACGACAGCTTTTGTAAAATTCTGGTTCTGGAAGTT